GTTTTCATTGGTGGATTATTTTTGTTGGCCAATTGCAACGCACAGAACAGAACAGGAAGTTAGGAACTTGTAACAGGAAGTTAAGAACTTCTAACAGGAACTGAGGAAAATTTATTTGGCTCTTAAGAACATTGCAAATTCCCTGAAGGGATTTGCAAGGGAGATTTTCAAATTTGCTAAGGTAATGACGAAAATTGCAATCAACTTAGGAACTCAAAAGAGGAACGCTTCACGTAGTTTACCTGTAAATAATTAAATCAAACCTTTCTGTCAGCGGTTCGATGCTTTGTGACGGAGAGACTTTATGTTAGCTTCTTATTATGGCATACTCTCATCTCCAGGGAAACTTGGCTCAGTTTTGACGAAGAAAACAAGAAAACAACAAAAAATGCTACCTCACGTTTCCATAGCAACCAGATAATTTTAAATGGCGAGTATTTTAAAACCCAGATTAAACACGGAAAAAATTCAAATCAAAGCAAACAACATGTGGCTATGGTAAATCTAATGTTTGAAGTATCTTTTTCTCTTAAAAAAAAAAATCAAAAATTTTCAAATATTGGGTTAACCCCCACCTTGCATGGTAATTCATTAATTCTTTCAGTAATATCATATCTATTATCTTTTATATAGTTTACCCTATTGTTCTCACTCATCCAAACAATAAAACATATTTACAAGGCAAGAACGTAAGTTTCGACTGCGAAGTTGATGGTCGACCGAAACCTTTAGCATTATGGTTGTTCAATAACCAATCTGTCACAACCAACCACAGAAAGTTGTCCAATGGCAGTATACTGTTATATTCTGTTCAAAATAACGATTTGTATGAAGGGAGCTATACGTGTTTCGCTGCAAATGAAGCTGGTCGAAGTGAGAAATCAACAAGTTACCTTACAGTACATGGTAAGTTTTTTGGAATAAATGTTTGAATGATTATATAAGTTGGGTAGTCATAGACAGTACATCCCCGCCACTTACAGTAAAGTTTCAGGTATATGAATCCTGCATGTAATACGATTTGCAAATATTTTAGAAATTTCTCATCCAATTTTCATCTAAATCTAAGCTAAGTTTGATATATAGATCTTGGCCTACGTCCATTAGCTCAACGATTATCAGTATTGAACTGTTCAATATTTGTTTAGTTACCCTGCATTTTGACGGGGAAAAAAACCCCAAATAAACCGTGCCTCAATACTAAATAATGTATGTTTGTTTGCAGTGCCTGCCAAAATATTGAAAATATCTAAAACTAAAGTACATCAGCTCACGGACAACGTAACGTTAACATGCAATGTTACTGGTGATCCACGTCCGAGTATTTCCTGGACAAAAGCAAACTACTCAAGTCCGTTAACACCTCCCAAGTTTCAACTGTCAAATTATAACCAATCACTGACAATTATGAATATCACTCTGCAAGAACAGGGAACGTATATTTGCAACGCGACGAACAAATATGCCTCAGTCCGACGAAACGTTACTGTAAATGTTGAAGGTATGTTGGTTTTTTTTTTGGTACTCCTATATGTCTACTAGTGTGGCGGATATGTGCATGGATGTTTCCGAAGAGGGTTAAAAGCACCAAATTGTGCACTGTAGCATCTTTTTATGAGTAGAACAACATGCAAAAGTGGGGCCATCGTGAAACTGTTTTTTTTAGAGAGTTACGATGCTATTAGCATTATTTGCTATTAAATTCTACTACAACAAAAAATGTGAAATTTTGAATTCAATCGCGACAAATATAACTTGCATCATCAGAAAGCTTGTAAAAAACTACATAAAGAAAATATTTGCGAGCAAATACGAATTTTATGACTCCCGTCTCAGACTTTGGGGAGATAAGTCGGTTATTACAATTGATAAGCCGTGGTGTATTATATATTAAGCTGACAGAGAGAGGAAATACCTAAGGTATTAGGTATATCTTGAACAGACTCGGTTATATATAGATACGATTACGAAAGGGTTATAACACATCCCTATGCTAAGTTCTAAGCATTCACATACAGCTTACCGTCAAAGGAACATCACCCATACTGACGACTATTAAAAACTTGATAAACTTTAATTAAGAGAAGTTTTGCTCTGTTATTTGATTATTCTTTCCAGGTAAGATCTGTATTTTAATTTCACATTATTAGTGGCACTGCGTTTTATGAACAGTTACGTTGCGCTTGTGTGATATATTTTGTCAGTCTCAAGTTAGCGCAACATTGACCATGCATTGCCTTCTGTCCCCTTGTTTTGGGATTTTTATTTATTGACTTGGGCCCAATGCTTTGGGAATATTCTCCATGTGTTTGGAGATTTATTTATATATTTGTACCCCATGTTTTTTGGGGCATGTTCTCCATCTTTTGGAGATTAATTTATGTACTTGTACCTCATGTTTTGGGGGTGTTCTCCATGTTTTTTGAGATTTATTTATTTACTTGTACCCCATGTTTTTGGGGATGTTCTCCATGTTTTTGGAGATTTATTTATATACTTGTACCCCATGTTTTTGGGGATGTTCTCCATGTTTTTGGAGATTTATTTAATTAATTGTACCCCATGTTTTTGGGGATGTTTTCCATGTTTTTGGAGATTTATTTGATTAATCGTACCCCATGTTTTTTGGGGATGTTCTCCATGTTTTTGGAGATTTATTTATCTACTTGTACCCCATGTTTTTGGGGATGTTCTCCATGTTTTTGGAGATTTCTTTATATACTTGTACACCATGTTTTTGGGGATGTTCTCCATGTTTTTGGAGATTTATTTGATTTATTATATACATGACAAAATTACTGCAATCTGATTGGTTAAGAGGAGTGCAATTATTTCATTAATTGCACTCTCCAGGAGTGCAATTAATGATTTTCGTGATGGTTGGGGGGAGCGGGAAATCAAAACAACAAAATCCAATATGGCGGCGAAATTTAGATAAGTATTTCTAACAAATGTGGACGAATTTAACTGAATTTTGGCACAAGAATGAGTTTAAGAAACATTGTATGGCAAAAAGAGCCTGTGGAAAATACCTGGAAACAGTCTTAAGAAATAATCTTGGCGGGATGCTGCGAAACGTGACTATGTAAGTTTGAAATACAATTTATAAAGATTTTCTTAGTCTAAAATATGTTGTTTGAGTTTGAATCTTGTGTTCTAGTTTAAGTTTGTACCTTTATGATTTTATAATCATTTCCCAAGTTTGTTTGTACCAAATTGCTTACAAAAGAATTAAAAACTCTTGACAAAATGCAGTTGAAATATAAAGAAAGCGATTTTGTCATGCATATAATAAATATTCGGCGGCTCGTGCAATTTTGGCACATTTTTCAAATATCACTCATAGTGTTAATCATTAATTGCACTCCTTCCCGTGTGATTACCTATACTAATTGTACCCCATGTTTTTGGGGATGTCCTCCATGTTTTTGGAGATTATTTGCAGTTTAAGTTATTTGGTCATCCAGGGCTTGTAATATGCGGCGAGTCGAAAATGTCTGCCATATTTGCCCTGCGAAAATTTTTTAATTATCATCGTTTTTCATACGGCCCAACGATGATAGTATTTATACAGAAGTTGTACATAAATTGATAATATTTTGTTCCATATATATTATTGTATTTTATACTGTTTTGCAAGTTTTCTTGTTACAGTATGCCACCACGTAAGCAACAACGCAAAAGAGCGGCATCAACGACAACGGGTGGTCCGTCTTCGCGTCGTAGTCGTCGCGCTTCAACCATCAACGCCGGTAAGCTGTAAAACATGGAATCTGGAATCTTGGAATCTGGGAATCTGGAATCTTGGAATCTTATCATATAACCGCAAAATATGTTATTATCAAGATATTATTTTTAATATCTTAAATAATAACATAAGATTAATATAAATATTAATAAATATAATAACTAATATTAATTAGTGCCACTAATTATTGCCAAGGTTAGCTTTTAGTTTGAGAATACATTTTGAATCAATAGTGTAACAACCAGGCGAGTTTGAGTTTTGGTCGTGTGTCGTGGGTAAAAAGTCGTGCGTAAAAGTCGTGGGTTGAAAAATGCTCTAAATTTCCATTTTTCGCTCAGACACTGCTTTTGCTAAAATAATTTCTGTTTTAACAAAACGCGTGTTAGCGATCAAATGTCCAACTGAATATTTAACCGAAATTCTTCATATTATGCGTTCGAACTTCGAACTAAAGTCAAGAACGCGGCAGGATATGGCCAGGTGGCAAGTAACTAAAGGAATGTTAATCACAATGCGTAGAACACCTAGTAAATCCGACAAAAAACATGCATAAACACCTATAGTAATCCGACACAAAGTTCATATTACGATTCCCGGATTCCCCGTTCCCTGTTTTAAAGATAGCCTAGTCTGTTCGACAAGCGATATATGTCTTTCGTATAAGCCGTAATTTTAGCTGCTTTGAATTGATTTCTGCTCTACTTGATCAAGTTATAAATTCGTTTCAGAACAGTAGCGAATGACATTCTACTGGGCGGAAAGTTCCACTTAAAGATTAATATTGTCGGGATTGCCTTACTTTGTTTTGAAATAAATACACGGCACAATAAATCAGGATGCAATTTTTTGAGGCTAGTGTGTGAACGTCTTGATCAGGCGTCTTGCTTTGTATTAAACTGTTTTATATAAATTCACCAAAGCCAACGTGATTTGTCGTGCCGTGTATTTGTCATTCGCTACTGTTCTGAAACGAATTTATAACTTGATCAAGTAGAGCAGAAATCAATTCAAAGCAGCTAAAATTACGGCTTATACGAAAGACATATATCGCTTGTTGAACGGACTAATATGAACTTTTAAAAATAATAACTTGATAATAACATATTTTGCGGTTATATGATAAGATTCCAAGATTCCAGATTCCATGTTTTACAGCTTACCCATCAACGCCACCAGAGCGACACAGAATTAATGCTGCCCCAAAGTTGATTTACCGCCATTGGCCACACCACGAACATCAACTCCTCCTGCTCCTTCGTCAGGGAATGTTCTGTCGCCCGAGATCCTTCAGACTCTGGTGTCAACCGTGGCTGCTGAAGTGACCAGGCAAATGGCTACGATTCTTCCAGCCCAAGTTCCCAGTCCAGTGCCAACTCCAGCAGTACCTGCTGTACCTGTGATGGCTACCGAACCGAGACCGAGTCAGACATCGTCATCGAATGCAGCGGAAGTCAATAATTTGGTAACGGGGGCAATAGCTGCGGCTCATGCTGGCATCTCGGGTGAGCCACAGTTATTGCCAACTATAATTTCTCCTAGTACTGCGAGTTCTGTCGAACCTACTCAATTGTTTCACTCAGCCGGTTTGGCTATTGACTCGCGGGTTTCGGCAAAACTCAAGGGTAAAATATGGGATGAGGAGTTTATCGATTTCGGTAGCTTGTTGAGCAATTCCGCCAATGGCAATGATAAGTATCAACTTTCATTTTTGAGTTCTAACGGTGGTCTACCTGCCTCTTTTTGTCTGGAACCTGCGGCCAAGCCTACGAAAATCCTAAATATTGAAGCTTGGCTTCAGGCTTTTCACATATTTGTGGGCGTTTACACTCAAAGATACCCAGTTGAGGCCCCCGCCTTAATGAAATATGGGCAAACTATTCAGGACTTGGCGGCTCGCGGTCTGAATTGGCGTTTTTACGACGAGAATTTTCGTTTTTTAAGACAAACTCAACGTACTCTTGTTCCGTGGGGCTCGATTCACGGGGAACTGTGGTTGCGTTCACAGTATTCTATGACTAGAAAGTCATCAGGGCCCCAAGTGGGTCAGAATAATTTTGCTCCTAAGCCCCGGTCACCTACTGCTGTGCCTTGGGGTTATTGTTTTAAATTTCACCGTGGTCAATCGTGTACGGGCTGTGCATTTAAACACTCGTGTTTTAAATGCCAGGGTAATCACCGTGTCAGCCAGTGTGGTAATAATTTTCGTGGCTTTAACGGAAAATCGCCCGCCAATACCGACCGCTCCGCCAAGTCAAGTACTACCAACGCCAGTAAAAATTCAGCCTCTAATTGAACTTTTGTCAGGTTACGAGCCATCGATTATAAATACTTTAATTTCTGGTTTTTCGTTTGGGTTTCCTCTGAACTATCAGGGCGACATCAAATCTATAGAGTCAAAAAATTTAACTTCAGCTTTACAATATCCAAAAATTGTGGACATGAAACTAGACAAAGAATTGGCTGCCAACAGGTTAGCCGGCCCCTTTTCGTCTCCGCCATTTAATTCCTTTTGTGTTTCGCCTCTTGGCCTGGTCCCTAAGAAAACACCCGGCGAATTTCGTTTAATCCATCATTTATCCTTCCCTAAAGGTGTATCGGTTAATGATGGGATACCTTCAGAAAGTACAAGCGTACATTATGCTACTGTTTCTGATGCAATACGTTTAATAAAACGCGCTGGGCCGGGTTGTTTCTTAGCGAAAACCGACATCAAGAACACTTTTCGTATCATGCCAATACATTCTGAAGACTATCATCTTTTAGGAATGAAATGGTGGGGGTTATATTATTTTGACCGTTGCATGCCAATGGGATGCTCCAGTTCATGCAAGACTTTTGATATATTTAGTACAGCCGTTGAATGGATTGCTCAACATAAATTCAATATCGATAAACTCCTCCATCTTTTAGATGATTTTCTTTTAATTGCTGCCACTCATACCCAATGCCGGAGCAATTTGGATAGATTTCTAAATTTATGCGCCATACTCGGTATTCCTATTGCACCAGAGAAAACGTGCGGGCCTGCAACAACTCTTACATTTGCTGGTATTGAGTTAGACTCTGTAAAATCGCAAGCGCGCTTGCCAGCAGATAAACTTGCAAAATGTGTCGACACCATCGAGTCTTTTCTTAACCACAAAAAGGTTACCCTAAAAGACCTTCAATCTTTGATCGGCTTGTTAAATTTTGCTTGTTCCGTAATTGTGCCAGGTCGCACATTTTTACGGCGTCTCATTGACCTTACACAAGGCATTCAGAACCCGCGACATTTCATTCGTTTACGTCAGGCGGTCAAAGAGGATTTGAAAATTTGGCAAACATTCTTATCTTCTTTCAATGGCATTTCATTTTTCCTGGACGAAACTTGGTGCAATTCCAACAAGCTTAATTTGTTTACAGACGCTTCAGGTTCGATTGGCTTCGGGGCCATATTTGGCACCGAATGGTGTTATGGCAAATGGCCGGCACATTGGTTACACCGTAATATCGCATTTCTAGAGTTCTATCCAATTGTTCTCACTAAAACTATATTCATGATGTACTTATCTGGGTAAGTACCTAATGAGAGGTTAGTCTCTTTCCCAACTCCATAAACGCTGTACCGTCTCCAGTCGGGAAAGAGACAACAGCCGTGTACCTCAGAGCCCGTCAAAACTCCACCATTAGGTAAGAGTATGTATCATTCGGCGCACGAGGACTAGCTGGATCAACCATCAAACTTGCTTGTGCAGGGAATTTATACAGTAACATCTGCTCTTTCGCTTGTGGGACGTGAAATGATATACTGCGCATGCTTGACCACATTTTAAAGCGTATATAGTGCGCATACTCAGCCTTGTGTTACGTCCCACAAGCGTAAGAGCTGTTTTGTGAAAACCTTCTCAATCATGTAATAAGTCAGTTAATTACCTCGAACCTCGGCATTTATCCATATACAGCCCTCGGCGCTACGCGCCTCGGGCTGTATATGGCTAAATGCCTCGTTTCTCGGTAATTAACTCTTACTTAATGCTGGTTTTAGGTGACGCCACAAGTAGGGTTAGCCATATAAAAGGACCCCTTGGTGGTTAATGTTTAAAATGTTTGCAGATATTTTGTTATTTCAAAGACTTAGAGTATCCAGAGAATAATTTTCAACTCATAAGGTTCAGTGGTTTTCAAGCAATATCTGCAAAAATCCAAGATGGCGACATCTCATTGCTTCAAGTCAAAATATTTCAAGAACTAAGCAAGATATAAAGAGTTTAACACATAATTTTGAAAGTTCTTTCAAATGCGAAAATCTAATTTTATATTGCCATATCTCTTTAAGAATAAAGAAATACAATGTATACTTAAGCTAAATTACTGTCCCTTCTGCGCATGAACGGGATTTGTATTTACACTTCTTGTTTTGATACACTTTAGCTGCATGTTCCCATGTACTTAGCATGCATATAAGCTAAAAAGTTACATGATGAATTAGTCTTCAATTTTGCCAAAAATCTTTTTTTTGAGACAAGCAATGAAATATTTTCGTGAATCAAATGTATGGCTTTCCCTTTGCTTGCCTCGTTCAATGACTCTTATAGGTGAAACCGAAATTGTAAAAAGTGTGTACACATTTCCTTAAGTATTTTTCCCCTGCTACTCTGAGTGCAGTTCACACAGGGCAAGCTGAAACACCGGGGTGGGATTCGAGCTGTTTTTCAGCTTGCGCGGTGTGGACTGTACTAAGAGTAGCAGGGAAAAAATACTTATAACACCTGAGTACAAAATGCACCACCACAATCAGAGTACATTTCCTTACATTTTTGCGACATGCATAGAAGGGAATAAAATGTAATCGACTTGTAACTTCAAGTTCACTGTCGGTGAACATCGCATTGCAGTTCAGCAACGAAAGACGAGTATTTAATGGATCGCTGTGTGGTGTCTGATACAGCTAACGCGAAATCCTGGAGGAAGTGGAGGATACCTGACATTTGATCAGGGTAATTTATGTGGAAGACGTAATAGCTTGAAATGACGTCGACTAAAGCTTCCAACAGGTCCGTGCTGCTTTCGAAGAACGTCGTCCGGTGGGTGTGCCGAGTACCACCAGTTTAAACTGGACCGCTTGTCTTCAAACAAATTCTTGGGCTTACTCGATGGCTATAGCGAAGAGAATACATAATGGTAGAGTTTAAGGTACTTTTTGCACACACTGCCCTTACAAACGTGTATAGAAACTATCTCTAACTCAGCTACCAAGTGTAATTTGAATATACTTACATCGTTGAACTTAATTAGTGATCCCCTTTTTTTCATTGTTTTCGTTTCAATGAATGAAACAGCGTCAGCAACATCTTTATTCGCCAGTTCATCCTTCCGTAGAACTTTTTTAATACCTTTTCTCAATCTTTCCACAGACTTCTTTAATGCAAAACCTGGGAGAACTTTTTGCATTTCTTTATGCACCTATACAGAGGATATACGCGACTTTACACAAGTGATTATTGAATATTTTGTAATGAGGCGATTACTACATGACATGAGGCGATTTGACATGAGGCGATTACTACGCAATTTTTGTCAATATTGGCAGCAAGCAACCTCGTACCCAGGGCTTATGTGCTTGGTCGCTCTCGTAAGCCCTGAGATAATCAACCTCTTACCCAGGGCTTATGTGCTTGGTCGCTCTCGTAAGCCCTGAGATAATCAACCTCGTACCCAGGGCTTATGTGTTTGGTCGCTCTCGTAAGCCCTGAGATAATCAACCTCTTACCCAGGGCTTATGTGCTTGGTCGCTCTCGTAAACCCTGAGATAATCAACCTCGTACCCAGGGCTTATGTGCTTGGTCGCTCTCGTAAACCCTGAGATAATCAACCTCTTACCCAGGGCTTATGTGCTTGGTCGCTCTCGTAAGCCCTGAGATAATCAACCTCTTACCCAGGGCTTATGTGCTTGGTCGCTCTCGTAAGCCCTGAAATAATCAACCTCGTACCTACGGCTTATGTGCTTGGTCGCTCTCGTAAACCCTGAGATAATCAACCTCGTACCCAGGGCTTATGTGCTTGGTCGCTCTCATAAGCCCTGGGATAATCCATGGCGATAAAGCAACGTTTTGCCAATGCCACCTTAATGGCGGCTAAGAGATGTGCCATCTCGGCCTTAACACTAATTACACAGAAACTGAACCAGAACCTGTTGTTATTCTCCCTTACAAATCATACAACTAATTGGAAAACCAATGTCCATTTGAATTATCAAATTATAATAAATCTACACCAAAAATACATGTAAGTCTGAGAAAGAAGTGTTTATTAAAACTTTCAGCTTCAAGAGAGAACAATTGCTGCATAACAGTGTTACCTGTGTCAAATGAGTCATTTGTCCAGGGCGGCTAAGAGATGTGCCATTTCGGCCTTAACACTAATTACACAGAAACTGAACCAGAAGCTGTTGTTATTCTCCCTTACAAATCATACAACTAATTGGAAAACCAATGTCCTTTTGAATTATCAAATTATAAAAAATCTACCAAAAGATATGTAAATCTGAGAAAGAAGGGTTTATTAAAACTTCTAACTTCAAGAAAGAACAATTGCTGCATACTGTAACAGTGTTACCTGTGTCAAATGAGTCATTTGTCCAGGGCGGCTAAGAGATGTGCCATCTCGGCCTTAACACTAATTACACAGAAACTGAACTAGAAGCTGTTGTTATTCTCCCTTACAAATCATACAACTAATTGGAAAACCAATGTCCTTTTCAATTATCAAATTATAAAAAATCTACCAAAAATATATGTAAGTCTGAGAAAGAAGGGTTTATTAAAACTTCTAACTTCAAGAAAGAACAATTACTGCATAACAGTGTTACCTGTGTCAAATGAGTCATTTGTCCAGGGCGGCTAAGAGATGTGCCATCTCGGCCTTAACACTAATTACACAGAAACTGAACCAGAAGCTGTTGTTATTCTCCCTTACAAATCATACAACTAATTGGAAAACCAATGTTCTTTTGAATTATCAAATTATAAAAAATCTACCACAAATAAGTAAGTCTGAGAAAGAAAGGTTTATTAAAACTTCCAATTTCAAGAAAGAATAATTGCTGTATAACAGTGTTACTTGTGTCAAATGAGTCATTTGTCCAGGGCAGCTAAGAGATGTGCCAGCTCGACCTTAACACTAATTACACAGAAACTGAACCAGAAGCTGTTGTTATTCTCCCTTACAAATCATACAACTAATTGGAGAACCAATGTCCTTTTCAATGATCAAATTATAAAAATTCTACACCAAAAATATATGTAAGCCTGAGAAAGAAGTGTTTACTAAAACTTTCAGCTTAAGAAAGAACAATTGCTGTATAACAGTGTAAACCTGTGTCAAATGAGTCATTTGTCCAGGGCGGCTAAGAGATGTGCCATCTCGGCCTTAACACTAATTACACAGAAACTGAACCTGAAGCTGTTGTTATTCTCCCTTACAAATCATACAACTAATTGAAAAACCAATGTCCTTTTGAATTATCAAATTATAAAAGATCTTCCAAAAATGTATTTAAGCTTGAGAAAGAGGGGTTTACTTCCAAATTCAAGAAAGAACAATTGCTGATAACAGTGTTACCTGTGTCAAATGAGTCATTTGTCCAGGGCGGCTGAGTGATGTGCCATCTCGGCCTTAACACTAATTACACAGAAACTGAACCAGAAGCTGTTGTTATTCTCCTTACAAATCATACAACTACAGTAATTGTTGTATGATTTATTATGAGTAATATATTATGAGTCATATAAAACTTTCAGCTTCAAGAAAGAACAATTGCTGTATAACAGTGTTCATTCACTCACCCACCCACTCCAGATAACGTCAATCAATATTGAGCTGTATCTTGACTTTATAGTTATACTTTGGACATTAATTGTCAAATTGCCATGAGATAACGTTGATAAGTTCACATAAAACCCAGCCACTCATAATGTCGATTCAATGTTATTTGTGGCAACATGAATGGATGTGGCGCCTTAAAAGTTTCTTTATGTATAAAATTTCGAGCCTGGAAATTCTCAGAGGAATGTAAACTATGAGAAACTCAAACATGTATCCAGTATCCTCAATGTATTCAGGGGATTGAGGGCATGTTCATATGATCCCGCTTACCGGGACGTTTCGCTTAGCGATGATCTCGCCGCCTATCTATTTTCCTATAAAATTTTGCATTGTGTTCATATGAGAAAGCGAGCTGGCCCGCTTGCCGAGATCTCGTTTGAATTTGCCGAGATCATAGGTAGGCGGGATGAAAATTTTTCCATATGAACACGCCAGCCCGCTTACCGGGATGATGTCAAACAAGTCTTGCCGGTTTAATTTAACACTTTTTACTTGGTTTTATGTTTGTTTTGTAAACAAGTATTAAATAACCACCTGAAGCAATACTTTTTCTTGTAAATAAACGAAGAAAAACACTAAAATCGCCAAGTATTTGTGTTGCTTGACTGAAATGTGGAAGTTTTGCATACGCTAATTATAGAACTACAATGTAATTTCATCTCGGCAAGCGGGACGAAATACTCCATATGAACGCACGGAAATATTCGTCTCGGTAAGCGAGACGTCCCGGTAAGCGGGATCATATGAACAGGTCCTTAGCAAGCTAGGATCGGCGTCATCTATATTGACGGCGGCTCCATGGACAAACATGCATGATATTTTCTTGATGCTTCTAATGCCAGGCCATTGGACCGATTTATAGCAGGGGGGCAAAGGGGGGGGGGGGGGGGGC